CTTCGGTGGAGCCCCCGCAGCTCGACGTGACCTGTGCGGTTCGTGGCCAACCGAAACGACACGACGATCGCCCGCACAAACGACGATTGGTTGAGGGTTGTCGTGAATTCGTTCTGGAGCAACAATGGATTCACGGCAGGGGCTGACGACCGCGCGATGGCTAGTGCAAAGCCAATGGTCGAGTAATCGTTCTGGAGAAACGATGTTGTGGCCTTCTCGTATACCAATGTGGTGAACATTGGCGACGGAAGGAGCACGGCATGCCTAGACACGGCGTCCAACAGCAGCACTGGCACGTCCAGCATCGACGGCTGGAAAGCCACGTTGAACTGGGTGCATTCAGGTAATGCCATCGACGCAGCCACCTCCGGCAACGCACGGTGCCAATCACTCGCTTCGTTCAGGGCGCCACGTTCGAGGTGTTGGTGCAAATGATCGAGCAACTCGAGCATGAGTTTGCCGCACTCTTGAACGTCGGACGTAGGTCCATACCAAGACAACCCAAACGTGTGTTTGGTTGGCTCAAATGAGGTCAGTCCAAGGTCCTGGCCAATGGATTTCATGGCGTGCAGCACAGAGTTGGAAAAGGGAGCGTCACTGAGACCGCTGCCAACAGTTAAGACGGTTGGCTTCCAGCCTGCGAATGCTGGACCGATGATCGCGTTTGGGTGTGTGATGAGAACCCAGTCGTACACGGAGAGGTCGGCCGTTGTCATGGCTTGGAAGGAGTGTACAGCGTCGAAGTCGACTGTGAATGCCACGTCCGTTGCGGAAGGAGTAGATGGAAGGACGAAGCATTGGTTCGGGTCCAGCCGATTGACGCGTGATGATGCAGTGCACTTCAAGTCGGACGGGAGAATCCCATCGCCCCCGGCAAGAGCTGTTCCGTCGGGAACCACAACCAGGTCCGTACGCCACGTGGACGGCTGGTGTTGAACCATGTCTTTCCAACTCGCATGTAGCCACCTGAATTCGTCGACGGCGTCGTCATCTCGATCTCTGGGCAGATGCACCACGATGGCGCGGACAAATGCCGCCTCGCGCCGCACGCTGGGCACATGGAGGTTCTCCAACGCATGAGAACTGTATATCACTTGGAATATGAAGCAACATGCAATCAATGTCGCAGCCACGAAGAGCGATCGCTGGTGCAGCGTCGGAAGGCGGATGGACTCCATCAGCGTAGTAGCTACTATGGTAGCGACAGACAGCTCTACAGTGCGTCGTGTGGTAGTTCGACTAATCAAACACAACTCATCATACTGTCCCATAATTCCCTGCTACTGTAGCAACAGTTCCAGTGTTGCTTACGTAATCATTTCACTTGCTCTTATTGTGTGAAAGTCAAATCCGTGTAATCAAAACCACACAATCTAGCTAACTAAGTTAACGTTAGGGGTTCACTGGCGATGCACTCAACCTCGGGAATAGCAACACAAGGGGTCCGGGGGTTCCTAGTAACAGGGCTACAGTGCTGGGTTTTTTATGGGAGCGATTACGTAAGCAACAATGAGACAGTTTCTCACAGGGAATTATTCCTACTTCGAAGTACTTTCTAGTACCACTCTGGTCCGTAATGTTTGTCACATTGTTTTTGGCGTGGTGCCATTCGTCTAAATTTACGACTTGAATTGAACTGATTGGTGCATTGGAAAGGTAATGATCTCCTCTTTGATTGGCTAGTTCGAGCTCCTCCGAAAGCACTTTTTTGCAGGAGATACAAGCTTGAGAGAGCATGAGGTCGATTTTGTAAAACGAAAATCATCCGGTCAGCGTTAAATGCCATTGCTATCTCGTGCACTCGATGCCCAATACACGTACTAACCCTATGCGAAGCAAGTACACATACTATTGAGATCCAAAGACGTTCTGCTCGCTAGTTGTGCCATGCAGCGTCGAGTCACAGTAGATAACCACACCATGCTGACATATAGCCATGATGACCCTATGAAAGACATGCTCTCGGTTATAGCACCTGACAGTATAGATATATTGTTCGTTCATTAAGGTCACCCCCATATTCAGCGTTGGCCCTGACATACAGACCTCTCGCCTTGGCGCGACGGCGGCCAAACATGATGGCGGCAGATTTTGGGGTATAAATATGGAGGCAGATTCTGAGAAATTTGCTGAATTTCATACTGAAACCAAGTCAAATACAACATGACAATCTTTATGGACCAGAGTAGAATACAGACTGTTCAGAACTCCATGTACTACTCCCTCCGTCCCAAAATACTTGCGTAGTTTCCGGGAGGGGGGAAATGACACGTCTTTATATTTTCAAGTGATTTTCAAACTTATCTGTCGTCTGCCCATCGTCGAATTTCTCGTGTTTGATTGGTTTATGTGAACAAGCGCGCCAAGTCCTGTCAAGTCATGTGTCAGCGAGGGAAAAATACACAGGAACCATCGCAGAAGTCGTCCACAAAGTTTTCATACTTTAAATCATATAAAATAGTGACCAACATTCGCAATGCGTGTCAACAAGCGTGACCTGACAAACGATGACCGCGAGGCCATCCTTCGGGAGATTCTGCTGAACAGCAGTAAGACCTCGTTGGCCAGATTGCCCAACGGCATTGCGCAGGTGCTTGCGGAGAAGTATAACTGCCATCACTCCACCATTCGCCGCGTCTTTGCTTAGGCAAAGAAGCAAGGGATTACCACCGGAAACATGAAAGTTTCGGTTGCGAGCAGAAAGAAGGGTCGCGTGGGTAGGAAGATGGCCTATACCGCCGAGGAGGTGAAAGTAAAGATATTGCGAGTACCACCCGCCCAACGCACAACACTGCGCTCAATCTCGGAGCTGACAGGCTTACGTCAACGACAATACTATAGAATTAATCAAAATGGTCGTAGGAATAAGCCGCCGTTCCCTGCACCGGTATCTCAAGCTCGGGATCTTTCGTTCGCACTCGAATGCTATCCGTCCCAGTTTGACCGATGCCAACAAGTACATCCGCATGAAGTTTGCATTCAACTTCGTTCGGGCGAACATGGAGTTCGACGGCATGATGGACTACGTCCATTTGGACGAAAAATGGTTCTACATCACCAAGACAACGAGACGGTACTATCTGGTTCCTGGCGAGAAAGAACCTCAACGGACGTGCAAGTCAAAGAGGTACATTTCCAAAATTATGTTTCTCAGCGCCGTGGCCCGACCTCGGTACGATGACGCTACGGGTACATGGTGGGACGGCAAAATTGGAACTTGGCCGTTCGTTGAGTCCGTCCAAGCCCAGCGCAAAAGTGCCAACCGAGCTGCAGGGACCTATGAAACCAAGGCGTTGACCGTGACCAAGGACGTATACCGCGCGTTCCTGGTGGAAAAGGTCTTACCGGCGATCGTGAGCAAGTGGCCATGCCCCAAGCGAATTGTCCACCTGCAGCACGACAATGCGCGCGCACATGTGACGCCATACGACGCGAAGCTCTTGGCAGCCTTCGCCAGCTACAGTAAATCTGGTTGGACGTTCGCGATCAAGCCGCAACCTCCCAACTCACCCGACATGAACATCTTGGACCTTGGATTCTTCACCGCCATCCAGTCCCTCCAGCATCGCACATCAGCCCGAACTGTGGACGACCTCATTACCAATGTCCATGCAGCATTCGACACGTACCCGTTCGAGCGTTTGGACCGGACGTTCATAACTTTCCAAGCGTGCCTTGTCGAAACGATGAAGTGTTTTGGCGACAACGCGTACAAGGTGCCTCACCTGTCCAAGGAGAAGCAAGCGCGGCTGGGGCTCCTGCCTGAAAACGTTCGATACCCTGCGGATACCTACGACAGTGTCAAGCGCTCACTGGATTCCGTCGACTGCACCGTCATGGAGAATAAGTTCCAAGAGGAACTGGACGAGGCCCGGAGCATGCATGAGCTGGCCCAGGAGCTCGAGCGCATTGCCCTATGTGACGACGAAATGGTGGATGAGTTGATGGCGACGAAATGGTGGATGAGTTGATGGCTGAAGTTGGAATAGATCCAATCAGCTTAGATAATGACGAGTAAAGCATGCTGGTGCATGTTGCTGGTATTGCGTGAAGTTGGTGGGCTCGGTAGGAGGGTTCCTGAGGTAAACCCCCCTCCGGAATCGATTGGAACTGTCAGATTTTCCATATATCGTCGTTTGATTGGTTCTGAGACACTTGGATCCCATGTTTTCATTGGCCACTTGTATCGTTACAACTCTAGAAGTTGATGCAAAGTATAAAGTTTTGCACAGTTTTTCATTTTATTCAAGGAGCCGTACAGCTTTTTTATGATCTACGCAAGTATTGTGGGACGGAGGGAGTACTATAGTATACGTATAAGTTACTGTAAGGTTATGATTGTTTCATCTTTTGTAATTACCCAATAGTATTAATATGATGTAGAGCCAATATTAATACTGCGTAGTATTTATTAATAATGGTACAGGTAACTACATTGGAATTGGATCGCAGTGGTATAACAACCAAATACAAATTCTCATATAAAATGGAGGTGAGTCAAAACGAGGGTGTGACAGATTTATTAAAATACAATACAGAACACAATTAACAGTCTCGGATTGGCCAAATTGTAACCAATTGACATTGCTAAAAACTACGTCGCATACAACAGTACACAAACACCAACGCATACATACATTACTTCCTGTTCGTTACAACTGAACTATTGTATACCGCTTACGCTTTGGGCGCAGTCTCCCTGTGAGTGAATCGTCATACGTGTATTGATTTGTGATCCTTAGAGCATCTCCATCCATTGGGTCTTATTAATTGGATTTTCCGGATAATGTACGGATAACAATGAGCTTTATGCCTGTCACATAAATAAGTCGTGGTTTTCCCACCCGTCAGTCTTTTCCGTGTCGAGCCGAAGCATCCCCATGTACTCGATATGGTCGTCGTCCGACGACGATGGCAGTGACGAAGAGTATTTCCGTCGCGACTTCCCTAGTGTAAGGACCAATCAAGGATCTCGCCCAGGCCGCAGCGTCAACATCGACCGTCAACGTAGCATCGGAGACGAACAACTTTGGATTGACTACTTCGTTGCGAACCCTACATGACAATGGTCTGATACGTATACTACACCATTCAGAACTAAACTACTCCCACTAGGTGCATTTCGCCGACGATACAGCATGAATCATAAGTTGTTTTTGCGCATTTCGCGGGACGTCGAAGGGCAGTCGGCATTCTTCCAGTAACGGCGAGACGCCACTGGTGCTCTTGGGTTCTCCACTCTTCAGAAGTGCACAGTTGCGATGCGTATGCTTGCGTATGGGTCTGCCGCCGACTCATTGGATGAAAACTTTCGTATGGGCGAGTCTACCGTCCTCAATGCACTCGAGATGTTTTGTGCTGCTATTGATGAGCTCTATGCCGATGAGTTTTTGAGCCGCCCAGACGCTGTGGAGACACAACAACTGCTTGAGGAAAATGCCCTTAGTGGGTTTCCCAGGAAGGTTGGATCCCTTGATTGTAGTCACTGGGTGTGGAAAAATTGCCCAGTTGAATGGCATGGTAAATTGTTTTTCGTATAATATATATTAACAAAATTTAATCATGTTGTATAGTAATACTACGTAGTAATTGTTATTACTCGTAGGAGCCTATATGGGCAAGGATAAGAAGGCAAGTATTGTGATTGAGATCGTAGCCTTAAAGAACCTCCGTGTGTGGCACTACTTCATAGGTCGTTGTCTAATATTTGCTCGAATTTTCACAGTATATGTTTAATCGAATACTACTAGTTTAATATTTCTACTACTAGGCATGGCGGGATCAAACAACGATATCAACGTATTGTGCTGCTCCTCTCTATTCGATCGCGAACGCATCGGCGTGGCACCAAATATCTCGTTCACTATTAATGGCTCTAGCTTTACAAACCCGTTCGTTATATTTCTACATAAAGCAAATTTTAAAAGTTGAAATATGTAGGTACTTTTTGGTGGATGGAATTTATCCAATCTCAAGCCGATTTGTGTCGTCAATTACCCAACCAACGGACTGGGCGTCTCATAGCTTTACCAAGCAGCAGGAAGCAGCGCGTCGAATCTGCACGATTGAAAGCTGCGTTAGTTCAACATATCTGGCAGATTAATGGTGTAAACAACATTTGATTGTTTTCTAGTAGTTTACATTTGTCGCAATCAATTTAGCCGCAAGTAGAAATTTACAGTTACTAGGTGACAACTGAGAATATATACTAGTTTATGATTTAGCTGAATTAACTACGAATTAGCACTCCTAATTACACCTCGTTATCGATTTCATCCACATCGTCTTGAACCAAATCCTCAGCCACCAATGATCGAGCAACGCCCGTAACAGTGGCGGATTGCAATTGGCGGGCGCGAAGAAGCAAACTCGATCTCAATTCCCTGTTGAATTGAAGGTCTTCTTCTGACGGGGGGTCCTGACCAAACACTTGAAACATGAATTTCAATTCGGACAATTGGTGGCGCTTGGCCATGTGCGTGGTCTTTGCTTCGGCTGCTTTGACAAAACGAGCATGAAGCTCAACTTGCGAATATCTAGTAGCCTTGTTCGATGCTTTAGCAGCTTTCATGCCTGTAGGACGTTGCAAATCATCGGCACTGCGCTTCCCATAGACTGACTCTACAACTTCAACACGCCACGTCGGGCCGTCCTGAACGATTCGCCAGCACGCAAGGATTGTCAGTCGGTCGATGCCGTGCAATTTGGCCACATGAATGGCTCCAGCTCGGTACCGATGGCACCATCTTCGTTCCAGCCCGATGGGATTCTCTTGAGCGCTTGGACAACGGAAGCGTTGAAGCTGGAGAGCATGGGGCATATTTTTGCAGCGGGATACGATTGCGTGGGGAGTGCGGTCACCGTGGTCGTTTGATGCCTTGTGGAGGAGCCAGTGGTCGTACACACGCTTATTCAGGTCAGCCGCCTTCTGCGCTGCCCCAGTCGCAGAATCACTTGAGATGGCGAGCCACGACCTGGCGAGCTGGACGGCTTCTTGGGCGCACCTTCGGTATATCCCCTTGTTAATAATTTGCCCAAACGGGAATTAAAATACAACAGAGTACCACTATTAATTTATGAGTTCCACTGTAAGTTCAGGCACTCCACATCTGCACGTCACAAGTAGTTAGCAATGACGCAAAAACTACAACCCCTGATATTGGCTTCATCTCGGCGGAAACAGCAAAAATTACCCAGTCAAATGAATGGGAAATAGGTCCAACCCCTGAAATTTGACCAGTTATAGCAAGTCAACGTGAGCCCGATTTGAAATACAAATCGAGCTCACTTTAACTTGCTATAACTGGTCAGCACTGACCCGCGATGTACAGTACGATTTGTCGGCACTGGACGGGTTCACGTACCGAACCCTTCTGGAGGTCACCGCTTCGGAAGATGCTTGTGCGCTGTGGTGCCGTCAAGTTAGCCTCCTGGAGGGTTCAATGGCGTGTCCTATCTGCACAAAGAATATGACGCTGTCGAAGACAAAGAACGGTTGGCGCTGGCGATGCCAGAAGAAGCTCCATGCCGACCGCCCGATCGAAAAGAGTATCCGCGCTGGCTCGTTCTTTGCGAAGTCGAAGTTACCACTAACGACGCTCTGTTATACGTGTGGGCTACAAGCCAGCCAAGACTGTCATGGATGAGCAAGGAGTGTCGACGGACACCGCATGCAATTTGTACAACTATTGCCGAGGTATTTGCTCGGCTGAAATGAAGGTAAAATTCTACAATTAATTATTCGTCAAATTGCTAACCAATTTTTATTCATCTAAATTGCTGTCAAATATATATTCATCTAAAGTGCTTAAAATTATTTATTCATCTAAATTGTTTATTTGCTGCCCTAGATTGGCGGTGAAGGACACGTCATCGAAATCGACAGGACGTCCTTGAAGAAGTCAAAGTACGGCCGTGGTGAAGTCACCCAGACCGTTGGCTCTTTGGGGGTGTCGATCGGGCAACCAAGCGGTGGCTCGGCATATTGGTCGGTGAGGACTGTACGAAACCGACGCTCTTAGCGCTGATCAAGAAACACGTACGACTCGGAACTCTGATTATGTCGGACAAGTTCGGGTCGTACGTGTCAACGAACGAAGTCCATACTCTTGCCAACAACAGAGACCTTCAAGACATGAGGTATGGGCACCAGTGGGTGAACTACACTGACAACTTCGTTGACCCCACCATTGGTGCCACACCCAACGCATCGAAGGTCTATGGGAAAAATCAAGTCAAGCGACATATCAAGACCATGCGAGGTATGGTGTCAGATCTGTTACCTCCGTTCATGGACGAATGTCTGTGGCGCAGCTGGTACTTTCCACCGGGTGCCTCGGGCACAACCTACTTCAAAGGGTTAGTTGTAGGAGTTAAGAAGAAGTAGGGCATGCAGAGTTGTAATACAGTAATATACAGTGGTACTCGTTTCTCTTTTTTGCAATTTATTAAAAATATGGACAAGGGGATATACCCAAGGTGCGCCTCTTCTTGTGTGTCCCAAGTGTCGCCGTGCGCCATCTTGAGTTGTGTTTTTTGTGGTCAAAGTACCTGGAGCGGCATTTTTTCATATATTTTAATTTTGTACTCGACTTGACTATACGTATGGGCGCAGTTCCGTGACGCTTTTTCCGACCTTTCGATGGAGGGGTTCCTTTACTCCAAATTGCTACTTCCTCTGTTCCGTAATGAAGTTGACTTCATTTTTAATAATCCATTTCTCAGTCGTTTCGAAGCCTAATTGGTTGCATGGGAGCCCAAATCATAGGCATTAACGTAATGAAAAAGGCTCTATTTTCGGATTTTTTTATTGGCTGTGAGGCTCCCGATAACATGCACAACAAATCCACGACGACGTTGATGAAACTTCAAAACTACATCATTTGCTCCATTCTTGTCCAATCGGCTTCAAATTTCGCGCAATCGCTTGCTCGTGGTGAGTAGATATACCTAGCGCTATTCCGATTGCTCAAAACTGAGTTATCGGCAGCTCTAGATGCCATAGGCAACGACCGCCAAACGACTGACGGACGCGCAGCGGACAGCAATCTTCTTTTAAATGTCAGTGATGAGGTCCAACGGTCGAGTGAAGCCAGGAGCGCTCCAAGGACTATGCGAGGAGTTTAGTGTGACCCGCCAAGCAATGTCCAAGATTTGGAAGCGTGGGACCGACACCACAGCCAGCCACGGGTATCCCGTCCTTGACTCAACGATCAAGAAGAAGAGTGGCAGGCCTGTAACCCTAGATTGTGCGTCGCTAGAAGCTCGCGTGAAGGCTCAGACTGCATTCAGTCGCTCAACGTTTCGCGCTCTTGCCGCTGTCACTGGGGTCTCAAAGACAACGCTATGGCGTCTTGTGAAGTCGAAGGCCATGAAGCGCTGCACCAGCCGTTTGAAGCCTATGCTAACGCAAAAGCACAAGCACGTCCGATTGGTCTACTCCAAGACGTTTTTGCGCCGCCATCCAAATGGTACCCTGTATTGGCACGACATGTTGGACTACGTCCACAAAGACGAGAAGTGGTTCTATATGACCAAAGTAAATCGACAGTACTACCTATGGTCAGATGAAGATGTCCCAGCGCGGAAGTGTCAGTCTAAGAATCACATCATCAAGGTGATGTTCCTGACGGCTGTGGCAAGACCGCGGTATGACAGCACGAAGCGAACTCATTGGGACGGCAAGATCGGTACATGGGCCTTCACGTCAACGCGTCAAGCTCTTCGCAACAGCAGGAACTGCAAGCGTGGCGATGATGTTGTTGAACCAACGACAGTCTCCAGGGAGGTGTACCGAGACTACCTTGTCAACAAGGTTATCCCAGCGATTCGATCGCTATGGCCGCGGCAACGATCGAGCGTGATCTGGGTCCAACAAGATAATGCAAGGCCCCATGTCAGCGTTGATGATGCTGCTGTTCGGTCGGATTGCAGGCTCTATGGACGGATGGAACATCAAATTGTGTGCTCACAGTCCGCGAGACCATCGAGAGCACCAGCCTGAATTTTCAAACTTTATAATTTTTTTATAGAGGTGCTCATTTTTTCAATTCGTGTCATAAACCTCTGTGGAGAGATGACCAGGAAATTATTACATGAAAAAAACATTAAAGATCAGAGGTGCCGTCGCTGTCATCCTGGGTGGAGTTTCCACTGTCACTTGATGACGACACGTCGCTTTCATCATCACTAAGACTGGGAGCACCTTCTGCGTTGCGCAGTGCCCTGTCGAGCTCGATGAGCTTTGTCGTCGAATTTGCAATCGTGTCACAGATCGTGCCAGTGTCTAACATCCAAAACGCATGCGCCAGGCGGTCATGCACTTCGTCGAAGGTCGTGTTGGAGGTGTATGCCCGGCCGACAGTACCCTTCACATTCGCCCACACCAGTTCGATTGGTTGGAGCTCGGAGAATCCAGGCGGCGTGTAGACGACGTGGTGGCCCCTTGATCGTGCCATTTCGACAACCACAGGGGGAATGTGCTCGTCGACGTATTTCTTTAACCGCGCCCACATTGTCTTCTTCATCGCAGTTGGAGGAACGTCAAGCAGGTTGAATCGGACGCAAGCTTCGTAAATCTCAGCCTTCTTCCACGTGCCCTTTGGGGTGGACGGAGCCTTCCCCTTGTGGTACTTCGCATTGTCCATCACAAAGACAGCCGACGACCAACCGAGCTCCTCGACTTCATCCATGAGCTTTTCAAACCACGTTGTGAAGTATTTGTGATTGAACATTCCGTGGTAGTCCTTGACGGTCTTGCCGTTCTTCTTCCCGCCCACAAAGATATCCAGCCCCAGCAGGTGGGACACGGCAGACCCATCCTCGAGTATGCCAGCAATGAAGCAGTATCGACGGCCTTTGTGCTTGGGCTTGGTGACTACCGTGTCTGTGGGGTCATATAGGCTGTCCTGATGGCGGGAGTAGTGATGATGGACGAAGCTTTCGTCCAGGTACACGATCGGACGACGCGGCGAAGCGGACACAGTTGGTACCATGAATTCGACGTATGCATCCCGTGCTTGTTCGTGGACCTCAGACATGCGGTATGTCGTGCCCTTGGGTGACTTGCCACGAGCGTAGCCGTGCTTTGCCAGAAAGGCCTGGACGGCACGCAAGCAAGCCGCATAGTCCTTGGATGAACGTTCATCAACCAACACGATGTTGGCATCCATCAGCATTCCGAGGACATCTTTTCCCACTGTCCTCTGCCGGGTAACACAGCGGTCGCGAATGAATGTGCGGACGAGGCAACGAGCCGCGTGCGTGTTGGGGACTCTCGAGCGATGCGTGGTTGAATTTGCTGGCAGGGGAGCAACTGTGACATCTCCCTTAGCCAAGAACTCAGCGAGGACACGCTTTACAACGTTGGTGCTGCGACCAAGCATTCGAGCAACCAAGCCAGCAACATCAACACAATTGGATTCACGCAGAGTTGCTTGTAGCATTAGAATGTCCAGCT